TTGGGGGAAGGATCCGGTTTAGGGGGGGGGGGGTCCGGGGGGGGGGGGTGTGGGGGGGGGGGGGTGGGGGGGGGGTCCAGGTAATAAAATATAAGGATGGCATATATATATATATATATATATTATATATATATATATATATAATATATATATATATACAAGGCTGCATTGGCGCTGCGCGCCACGCACCTTGGTCCTTTAAAGTTTCGCACGTAGCGAAGTGCGTGCGTGCGTACATGCGCACACACATGCGCCGATGGAAACATAGTACATTTGTACATAAAAAACATACGTATGTATGGGTATGTACATGTATATGCAAATGGTCTGTGTAACTCTGCGTGCGCATACACATGCGTATATCAGGCGATAGTGGCCTGACCAGCTGCTCCGGGCATCTCGCAACTCAAAGGTGCGAGGGTCTCAGGCGAAAGTGGCCAGACTACCATGGTCCTTCAGGTTGAGCAAGCAGGCGGGACGACAGATATGTGCATAGTTAAAGAAAGCGATAACGCCTTCTTGCCGCTTTCGTGATTGTCGATCTGACAATGTCTTCCATTCCCTATCCTTTCCTTCCCTCATCCTTCATGTCCTTCGCGCAGGAAGCGCACATGAACGCATCCGCCTTTCCAGGAAGCATCGTTCAGCATTATCAGGAGATTCGGGATACAGCCGAGATGGCTGCGGAAGGATTCCGCAGAACAGAAGTGGGAGAGAGAGGAAAACTGGTTTTGCTAGAATCTTGACGGGGTTGGGAAGAGGAACATGAAGAGGACCAGGAGGAGGAGTGGGAGGAGAGGTAAGAGGAGGAGGAGGAGGAGCAGAAGGAGCGAAAAAGACGAGGAGGAGGAGGCTGAGAGGAGGAGGAGCAGAGAGTATACAGAGAAGGAGGAGGAACAGGAGGAAAACGGGAAAGAGAAGGAGGGAGACGGGGAGAAGAAGAATGGAGGAAAAGAAATATTGGAAGCCTTCTGGGGGCACCATTGAAGTTCAGCGTTGGGAGCCCCGGTGTTATGTAGCGTTCTGGGGCCTCTTGGGAGTCTTCTTGGGGCCCTTTGGATCCATTCTAGGGCCCTGTTGGGGTTCTCTTGGGTCGTCTCGGGGCCCTTTTTGGGCCGTCTTGGGGCGTCTTGGAGGCCTTTGGCCGTCGTGGGGTTCTCCTGGCGGCGTCTTGGGGCCCTCTTGGGTGCCTCTTTGGGCGCTCTTGGAACTCTCTTGGGCCCGTCTTGGAGCCCTCTTGGGCTGTCTTGGGACTCTTGGATCGTTTTCGGGCTCTTTGGGGGGCCCCTTGGGTTATCTTGGGGCGATATGTGGAGCCTCTTGGGCCGGTTCGGGCTGATGCTGGCCCGAAAAAGGGAGAACTAGGAAAAATTACCCTGTGACGCACCCAACCCATTTGCATCATGGGAAACGAAGAGTTGGCCGAAACTTGCACGGACAATCAAATTGCAGGATCCGTTGTTTGATGTGTAAGCTATTTGGGACAAGCTCAGCAGCCCTCGAAAGTGGCGACAGTTTCACAGATCGCAGCCCCCAGCAGCCCTCGAAACGCAGCGACGAGCGAGGTAAGAAAGTGGCGACAGTTTCACAGATCGCAGCCCCCCAGGGATGGCGAGGTCACATTTGAATCCGCCGTGGGTACCCACTGTGCTGGGCCCCCCAGCAGGCCTCGAAAGTGGCGACAGTTTCACAGATCGCAGCCCCCCAGGGATGGCGAGGTCCCATTTGAATCCGCAGTACCCACTGTGCTGGGCCCCCCAGCAGGCCTCGAAAGTGGCGACAGTTTCACAGATCGCAGCCCCCCAGGGATGGCGAGGTCTAATTTGAATCCGCCGTGGCGTCACTGTGCTGGGCCCCCCAGCAGGCCTCGAAAGTGGCGACAGTTTCACAGATCGCAGCCCCCCAGGGATGGCGAGGTCACATTTGAATCCGCCGCGGGTGCACACTGTGCTGGGCCCCCCAGCAGGCCTCGAAAGTGGCGACAGTTTCACAGATCGCAGCCCCCCAGGGATGGCGAGGTCACATTTGAATCCGCCGCGGGTGCACACTGTGCTGGGCCCCCCAGCAGGCCTCGAAAGTGGCGACAGTTTCACAGATCGCAGCCCCCCAGGGATGGCGAGGTCCCATTTGAATCCGCCGCGGGTGCCACTGTGCTGGGCCCCCCAGCAGGCCTCGAAAGTGGCGACAGTTTCACAGATCGCAGCCCCCCAGGGATGGCGAGGTCACATTTGAATCCGCCGCGGGTGCACACTGCGCTGAGCCCCCCAGCAGGCCTCGAAAGTGGCACCAGTTTCACAGATCGCAGCCCCCCAGGGATGGCGAGGTCACATTTGAATCCGCCGCGGGTGCACACTGCGCTGGGCCCCCCAGCAGGCCTCGAAAGTGGCGACAGATTCACAGATCGCAGCCACCCAGGGATGGCGAGGTCACATTTGAATCCGCCGCGGGTGCACACTGTGCTGGGCCCCCCAGCAGGCCTCGAAAGTGGCGACAGTTTCACAGATCGCAGCCCCCCAACTGGCACGCAGCGACGAGCGATGCAAAAGGCAAGGGTGAAGAGAGGGACGGGAAGGGGTGGGAAGGAGACGCGCGAGCAGTGCTCTATTCAAAACGAGAACCCAACGCAGGAGGGTTGGGAAAAATGAAAACCATACAAAAATCAAGCCCTGGTGGGGCGTCTCGGGGCCCCCTTGGACGGTCTTGGGCGGTCTTGGGGTCTCTTGGAGCGCTCTTGGGCTGTCTTGGAGCGCTCGTGGACCCCCCTTGGGAGTATCTCGGGCCGTCTGGGGCGCCTCTGGGACCGCCCCTAAATTTCGGGGAAGGCCGAAACTCGCTTGGGGTGGGGGGGGGCTCCGTCCGGGGTCCGTCCGGGGTCCCTGGCCCTATAACATATATATAGGAATATATCTATACATATCTATATACACATATACACATACATATATATATATATATATATATATATATATATGCAAATACACATACTGCTGGTCTGATGATACATCTTAAGTACGATCCCCATATGGATGAGCACATCTCCGGTAGGATCCCGATATGGATGGATACACCTCTGGTACAATCTCTGTAGGAATGGAAATACCTGTGGTAGGATTCCTAAGGGATGAATACCCCTTGGTCGGATCCCTATAGGGATGGATACCTCTGGTGCAATGCCCTCATAGGGATGGATACACATTTGGCAGGACCCAAACATGTATAGATACACCTCGGGTAGGATCCCCACAGGGGTGGAACGAGCTCTGGTAGGATCCCTATGGAGATGGGTACACCTCTGGCGGGATTCTTATCGGGATGAGTACACATCTGGCACGCCTCTGGTAGGACCCCCTATAGGGATGGACACACCTCCGCTAGGACCCCGATTGGGACCCCATAGGGATGGATGCACCTCTGGTAGATTCCCGACAGTGGCGGATACACTTCCGCTGGACCTCCGCTATGACATGCCACGCTCTGCCGTGCTTTTCTACGCCATGCTATGCAATGCTCTGCCGTGCCTTCTAGAATGATGATGGGATGATGAGGATGATAGTGAGAAGGGCCCGATGATGAAAATGAGGATGAGGATGGGGATGATGATGCTGATGATGAGGTGGAGGATGAGAGTGAGGAGGAGGAGGAGGAGGAGGATGGGTGATGGATGATGGACAACGAATGATGGATGTTGATGAAGTTGATTGGTGTGGATGATGTTGGTGATGACGATGGGTGGTGATGATAAGGATCGGAGGTTGGAGGTGAAATTAGAGTGGGACGGAAAGCTCCGCACCGGGAAATCGGTTTCGCGTTCGTGTCGTGCGTGCGGGCGAGGCGGAGCTGCGTGGGCGGGCGAGAGGAATGAACCCTCCTCTGGCTGGGGCGCGGCGAGGACGAAAGTCCGCCCCTCCCGCCGCGCGTGGTGGACGGTGGGCGGTGGGTGTCGATAGTGAGATCGATAGCGAGTTGGAGTCGGAGTCGGACCTGGAGCCCGAGCCACAGTCGAAGCCAGAGTCGTCGTCATCAGAGTCGCCAGAGTCGCCGTCGTCGTTGTCATCGTCGTCGTCGGAGTCAGCGTCGGAGTCGTTGGAGTCATCGGAGTCGGAGTCAAAGTCGGTTTCGTCGGGGGGTTCGGAATCACAGTGGTCGTCGGAATCGGAGAAGGAGTAGGAGCTGGAGCCCGAGCCGGAGCCGGAGTCGGAGACGGAGTCATCGTCGTCGTCGTCGTCGGTGCCGAATCGTCGGAGTCGTCGGAGTCGGAGTCATCGTGAGTCGTCGGAGTCCTCGGAGTCGTCGGGGTCGGAGTCGAAGTCGTCGTCGGAGTTGTCGGAGTTGCAGGAGTCGGAGTCGTCTTCGTCGTCATCCTCGTCGTCGTCGCCGTATGAGTCGTCGGAGTCGTCTGAGTCGCCTCAGTTGTCTCAGTCGTCTCAGTCGTCGTCGTGGTCGTTGTCGTGGTCGTTGTCGTCGTGGTCGTCGTCGTCGTTGCCAGAGTCGTCCCCTCACCGCTGGGCCATTGCATGTTGACTTCGTCGCATGCGTCACTGAAAATCACCACAATCACCATCAGCATCATCACCATCATCATCACCACCATCATCACTATCATCACAACCATCGTCACCTTCGTGCTCATCCTCACCGTCATCACCATCAACATCATCATCATCATCATCATCATCATCAGCAGCAGCAGCAGCAGCAGCATCGTCATCGTCATCGTCATCATCAGAATCGTCATCACCATCATCATCATCATCATCAGCAGCAGCATCATCATCGTCATTATCATTATCAATATCAACACCGTCACCGCCGTCATCATCGTCACCATTATTAGGATGAGGACGGCGAACAGAAAACACTCCGAACCTGCATGCATGCAGGTTTCGAAAGCACTCCGAACTTGCATGCATGCAGGTTCAACTAAGAAAACGAGTGAGGGTCAACTAAGAACAATTGGCTCGTCTTCTACCGTAGGCCAGGCTCTTCAGTCAGCCGCCCAGGGTGATCCAGAAAGTGAGGGGAGCCACGGAGGAGGGCCTAGAGCCCCTCAAGAAGGAGCTGGACGAGATCTTGTCCCAGGAGCTGGAGACATGCGGCTCCATGAAGACCAAACTCAAGGAAGAGGCTGAGCAGAGCGTCATGCAAACCGTCATGCGCATCGAGGCGACCAAGAAAGCCATGGCTGAGGCCGAGGAGAAGCGCAAGGAACTCCAGGACAAGGCAGAGAAAGTTCTGAAAGAAATGGCCAGCCTGGTCGCGGACGCGGAGATGGAAGCACAGGCAGTGAAGGAGGCGGGCAGCAGACGCCTAATAACATGTGGTACTTGTTTCTAGCGGGGGGGTCTAGGGACGATTGGGGACGGCTTGGCAAGTCGTTGCACCACGTGCTCGCGGAGGCTATTTGATTGGGCCACGTTGCGCAGGGATGCCTCGCGTGGCCTGTTGGGGGCGCCCCGCCGCCAGGAGGTAGGGAGCGTGGTCGCGCGCCTTCTGGCCACAGATGCGTTACGGTACGCACGCATGTATATTCATGAACACATGTACACATGACTTCGCGCACGACGTGGTGACGCATTGCATAGCAACCGCGAGCCTACACAACATTGTATACGATGCACGCACAGCAAACAGAGCGGATGTGCCGACGCCGATTGCCACGCATTCGTTTGCAGGTCGCCGTTTTGAAAGACAACGCACATCCCTCATGCATTGCAGGCTTGACGCCACGGTGAGAACACGTTGGCCCCTATGTGCAAACGACACGCACACACTGACACACACACACACACACACGCACAAAAACACACACACACACACACACACACACACACACACACACGTGCGGCGCACGCGTACTGCTCACACGTGCGTCATGTACGATTTCGTCGTCGGTAGCAAGGGATGCGCAGGACCTGTGAAAAGGATGGTCACATACAGCGCGCGCTTGCATGAGCACGCCCTAAGCATTTAAGCATGGAGCTGCCCAAAGCAGATAGCAGATATAAGACCGCCGCGCAGGCCAACAAAAGCAGCGAGAAAACAGCGAGGCAGGTCAGCGCAGGGGAAGAACCGGGGCCATGGACGGTCGGGGGCGGTACGGCACGGCCGAGTCAAGGAACCTGTCCGCAGCCAGAGCATCGCATGAGGGCTGGGGGCAGTCGGGGACGATACCGAAGCGAGGAAATGCGTGGCAATGGCAGCACCGAGTCGAGAATCAGGTCGAACCAGAGAGAGCCTAGGCGATCAGAGCGAAGCAGCAGAGCTTGGGACGGTCGGGGACAAAGCCAGGGACAAGAGAGCACAGCACAGGGGCTGAAGACAGCCGGCGACGAGGCCGAAGCAACAACATGGGAGGTGACAGGAGGCAGGACCCAGCTGGGGACGGTCGGGGACAAGGCCGAAGCAGCGGAATTAGCAGCAACCACGGGCGGGCCCGAATCGGCGGCAGGGCCGCCAGGGAAGTCCGCGGCCACCACAGCACGGCTCCCTGGCGAAGGACAGTCAGGGACAGGGCCGAATCAAGGGAGCTAGCTGGATGTAGCTGGGGGCAGGCACGGGATGCGGGGACCGCCAGGAGCGAGGCCGAGCCGAGAGGAAGCTCTCGGCGATCGGGGCACGGCGGCCGGGCCCAGGCACAGTCGGAGGCCAGGACGAGCCCAGGGGAAGGGGCCGGGGCTCTGTGGGCGGGGCCCTGCGATCGGCCCCCGCGGGCAAGGCCTTGGCGCGCAGGGCCCCTGCGGCGGCTGCAGCCAGAGCGCCGAGGCGAAGGGCAGCGCTCGGGGGCTCGGGGGGCGCGCGCGGCGCCTCGGGCCCCGCCGCGGCGGGTGCCTCTGCGCCCCGCGTGCCCCCAGGCGGTCCTCGGGCCGAGCAGGGGCGTCGCTCCTCCCGCAGCGGTCCCCTGCGGCGATCGGCCCCGGAGCGTAGGGCGGGGCCCTGCGGGCGGGGCCTGGCCCGGGCAAGACGCACGCCTGCGGTCCTGTGCGAGACGCGGTCGCAGCGGGGGCGCGGGCCAAGAAACCGGATGCCTAGCGTCAAGGGGCCTTGGGTTTCTCCGCTCCGCGCGCTGCGCGGAGGCTTGCCGCGGCAGTGAAAGAAGTTGCTGCGTTCAGGGTGCTCTGGGTTTCCCCCCGGTTGCATTTCGCGCGCGGGTTTTCAGGGCTGGGTTCCCTGCTCTGTTTCTTGCGGCGGCGTCCGCAATGCATGCGACGGCTGGACGCCTTCGCCAGCACGGGGCCCCACTTGCTGGACCTTGGGGGCGAAGGGTGGACCCCCCGCAATCAGGGAATCCGATTGGGTGGGACTCTGCGGGCGGAACCTTACGGTCGCCGACCTTCCGAAACATCCTCGCGTCGTGGAAAACATATCCCGGCAAAGCAGCATAACAGCGATGTGTATAGGCATATTTGGAAGCATTCCTCTTAAGATTCAGGTGAGAATCCATTTGTAGAACTCTGCTGTTCTCGCAGTCGCAGTCGCATTAGCAATGACAGTCACAGTGGCAACGGCCTTAGGATCCAATGGAATCCGAAGGATTCCTAGGGATTCCTAAGGCATCCTTTGGCATCCTTAGGAATCCATAGGAATCCTTAGGAAACCTTAGGAATCCTCAGGAATCTCGATTCCTAGGGGTTCCTAAGGATTCCTAGGGATTCCTAAGGCATCCTTTGGCATCCTTAGGAATCCATAGGAATCCTTAGGAAACCTTAGGAATCCTCAGGAATCTCGATTCCTAGGGGTTCCTAAGGATTCCGAGGGATTCCTAAGGATTCCGAAGGATTCCTAAGGATTCCTATGGATTCCTACGGATGCCTCAGCCTGCCTCAGTTTCAGCCTCAGCCTCAGCTTGCCTCGGCTTGCCTCAGCCTCAGCCTCAGCCTGCCTCGGCCTCAGCCTCAGCCTGCCTCAGTCTCAGCCTCAGCCTGCCTCGGCCTCAGCCTGCGTCAGCCTCAGCCTCAGCCTGCCTCAGCCCAGCCTGCCTCAGCCTCAGCTTCAGCCTCAGCCTCAGCCTCAGCCTGCCTCGGCTTGCCTCAGCCTCAGCCTCAGCCTGCCTCGGCCTCAGCCTGCCTCGGCCTCAGCCTGCCTCAGCCTCCCCTCCTCCCCCCCCCCCCCCCCCATTCAGCCTCACCTTGTCTCAGCTTCGGCCTGCCTCGGCCTCATCCTCAGCCTCAGCCTCAGTCTCAGCCTCAGCCTGTCTCGGCCTGAGCCTGCCTCGGCCTCAGCCTCAGCCTGCCTCAGCCTCAGCCTGCCTCAGCCTCAGCCTCAGCCTGCCTCAGCCTCAGCCTGCCTCAGCATCAGCCTCAGCCTCAGCCTCAGCCTCAGCCTCAGGCCTCAGCCTCAGCCTGCCTCAGCCTCAGCCTCAGCCTGCCTCAGCCTCAGCCTCAGCCTCAGCCTGCCTCAGCTTCAGCGTCAGCCTCTCAGCCTCAGCCTGCATCAGCCTCAGCCTCAGCCTCAGCCTGCCTCAGCCTCAGTCTCAGCCTGTCTCAGCCTCAGCCTGCCTCAGCCTCAGCCTCAGCCTGTCTCGGCCTCAGCCTGCGTCAGCCTCAGCCTCAGCCTGCCTCAGCCTCAGCCTGCCTCAGCCTCAGTCTCAGCCTGCCTCGGCGTGCCTCAGCCTCAGCCTCAGCCTGCCTCGGCCTCAGCCTGCCTCGGCCTCAGCCTGCTTCAGCTCGGGCATTCAAAATATGGCACAGGACTGGTGTTCTGGGAACACGAAGATCACGAAGTGGCCCACAGTTGGCTCCGGGCAATCAAAATATGGTACAGGAATGGTGTTCTGGGAACACGAAGAATACGAAGTGGCCCACAATTGGCTCCGGGCATTGAAAATGTGGCCTTGGAATGGTGTTCTGGGAGCACGAAGAACACGAAGTGGCCTGCAGTTGGCTCCGGGCATTCAAAATGCGGCCTGGGAATGGTGTTCTGGGAAGACGAAGAACACGAAGTGGCCTACAGTTGGCTCTGGGCATTCACAATGTGGCCTGGGAATGGTGTTCTGGGAACAAAATCTGTAGGAAACTATAGGAATTGATAGGAGTCCTGGGGAGTCCCTGGATTCCCCGGATTCTCCCGGCATCCGCCCAGACCCCCTTGGGGAGTCAAGGTGCTCTCTTTTGAGCCCACTAGAAACCTATATCAGTCTTCGCTGTTAGATAAATACCACGAGAAGTTTCTGGCAAGTTTCTGCCTCTGGGGGCCTTTGCGAACCCCGGGGCCGCCACAAAATGATTCACTATGAAAAACCAATCGCGGCGAAGGGGTCTGAACCTCAACGGGAACACGTTGTGGGGGGACCTCTTGGAACGCTTTTGGTCCGTCTTGGGAGTCTTTCGAACTGATGGAGGCCATCTTGAGCGTCTCGGAGCGCTTTGGGGCTGCCTCCAAGCCCCATCATGAGGGCCTCTTGGAGTTCTCTTGGCTCGTGTTTGGGCACTCTTGTGTCTCCTGGGGCCCCGAAGGAACGCCGGTGAGTGCGTGGACCCCCCCCCCTTCAAACGTGATTTTGGGCACGCGGGGGCCAATCATCTCACGCGTCCTTTCACCCCCGGCAAGCGGGAGTCGGCGGAGCTGATACGCTACAGGGTTGCATGCCGTGCTTTTGAACCCGTACGCAGCACACCCGCATCATGATACGCATGGCACAGCTACAGCAAATGTGTCTGATGTGCACTCGTTGCTCGCTGCCTCGATGTACACAACCCTCCATTTTCAAGCACGCTTGGCTCGCCCCCTTCGCATCCGATCATAATCGGGAGGGAAAGAAACACACAGACGCACTTAATCGTCGACTCCCAGGAAAATATGAGAAAATATGGGAAGGGGGGGAAGACGAAAACCCAGTAAGTATTGAAAATATGGGGAATCCTGTTATTTGTGTGTAGTTATTTGTGTGTCCCTGGGCCCCCATTCAAAGAAGTGTCGCACTGCTTGGTCGAGTCGGCCAGGCGGGGGAGCCCCTGACTGCGGACGGCGCCGACCTGGAGGACACCAAAGAAGCCGCGGAGGCGGTGGGCAAGGCCGGCGAGGAGGCGAAGGCAAAACTGAAGATTTGCACTGATTTCTCCAAGGAGAACGGCAAGAACATGCACGTGCCCCAGGTGGCGGGCGGCACTGACAACCTGGTCGAGTGGGGAAAGCTCCTGACCAGAACGAAAGAGCTTGCCCGCGAGACGGACCAAGCCATGAAGCAGGCGGCCGCCGCGAAGGTGAGTGCCGAGAAGAAGTCCGAGGCGATCAAGAAAATGAAAGCGTGGACGGATGTATTTGACAAGTACGACAAGAAAAAGAGTGGATATTTGAGCAAGGCAAACGTGAAGAGCTATGCTCAGGCTGTCTTACAGTTCAAGATCCAAGACGGCCCCCTCGAGGAGATTTTCGCTGCATTGTCAGATGATCCGAAGGGGATTGCAAAAGATGCAGAGCAACTCTTGCGGCTCAAGATTGCCATCGGTTGCGCCCGCGAGAAAGTCGAGGACGACATGCTCCGAAAGGAGAGGGAAGAGAAGGAGAAGATGCTGGCAGAGATGAAGGCCGAGCTGCAGGAGAAGGCGAACGGGGTGCTGCAGGTGATTACCAGGTCCGAGGGCCTCGTCGCGACGGCAGAAAAAGCCACCCTGCCACTGCCCGCCAAAGCGAAGGAGCTCTCATCGACAGACATGCTCCAGCTGTCGGACGAGGTCGAGGCGGCGATCAAGGAGGCGAAGGCCGACATCGCAGAGGCGACGTCGGCGCTGGAGGGGCTCAAGGAGGACGTCGACGAGGCCCTCAAGACATGGCTGCTCGTCGAAGTGAACAAGCTGCACGCGAAGACGGTGGGATGGGAGCCGCGCCTCGCCAAAGCCACAAGTAGCTGCAGCACCTTCCGTGACAAGGCGAAGAACAAGGAGCGGGAAGAGCTGGAGGCCCTGGAGGTGCAGGCGATTGGCATGATCAGGTGCCATGCCGCCCGCCGCCCAGAGGGGGGGGACGGGGAGGGCGACGAACGGGGAGGCGGGGGGGCTGTCGATGCAGGCAGGATTTGTTTTGCTCAGCGCGTCGCTCCGCCGGTTCTGGCCCACCGCGCTTCGCAGCGACACACTATCCACGGCCCGGCCCCCAAGCGTCAATGCCTCAAGCTGTTCCCAGCCTCGCGCCCCGCGACGCGGAGCGACGCGCTGCCCGCTCGAAAAGCATAGCGCGTCGCCAGGGCCGCCGCCGCGACGCGCCGAGCAGAAGCCCCCGACCGCGATCTGGAGACCAGCTTTAAGTCGGGCCTGTCCCTCTACAGGGGAAATACTCAAAAAGAGTCCACCACAAAAAAGTCTGGGGACGATTGTTTGAGTATTTGTTAGCCATTTGGGGGCATTTGTTGAGCTTTTTTATATATATATATATGTATATATATACATATATATATATACACATATGTGTATATATATATATATATTAAAAAGTAAAAAAAATAAGATGCTACTTTTTAATAAGAAAAATCCGCCGCCTGTAGGGGGGCACGCCCGACCTCAGACCAGCTCCAGCCTTCTGGTCCTCAGACGGGGTCTCAGAGATCGGCGCGGCTGCCCCCCCACGGGCACCATCCTGGCGGCCGCCTCTCGCGGCGAGGCCGGCGGGCGGCGGCCCCAGCGGCCGCGGAGCCGTTCGCCCCCATTGCCTTCAGGCGATCGCAAACATGGATTAAGTCGGGCCTGGTGTCCTTCTACGGGGGGATACTCTGCTGCTGCTTTCGACTATGTGGGGGCATGTCTTGAGTATTTTTTTTCCTTCGGAAATCCACCTGTAGGGGGGCACGCCCGACCTAAGATTAGCGACGGGTTCCGTTTCCATGGGAAGCCGAGGATTCCGCCGCCGAGTGAACCTCCCCCGATCCATGGGTTCGGGAACCGCGCGCCAAATCTACGGATCGCCAACCTAGGTTTGCGCGCCCCCGATGTCCGGCGGATGCGCGGGAAAACGAGAACCCGGCAGATTTTCAAACATTTGGGCTTAAGTCGGGCCTGTCCCTCTACAGGAGGAATGTTCAGAAATTGTCAAGAAATAGTCTGGGAACGACTTTTGATTATTTGTTGATTATTTTGGTGTAATTTTTTGAGTATTTTTGATTTTCGTCCAAAATCCGCTTGCAGGGGGGACAGGCCCGACCTAAATCTAGGCCGAATCGACCCGCGGAGCGGAGCAACACGCTATCCGCTCGCAGGGCATGGCGCGTCGCCGGGGCCGCCGCGGCGACACGCTCCGCAAAACCTCCCAACCGTAACCCTGGAATTCTCCAAACACCTAGGCCGAGTCAATGACTCTGGCAAACGGCTTTGGATTTGGAGGCCCACTTGGAGGTTCCTCTTGGAACTCTTTAGAGTTTGGAAGGTCTCTTGGGCCATCAGGAGGCCATGTTGGACCCTCTTGTGGCTACCGCCCGCTCGTTCGCACCACTTGGCAGGGACTCCCAGAAGACCGGAGGTCGGAGGTCTCATGGGACCCTCGGCAGGGGCGTCCACGAGACCCAGAAGCCAGGGATTCCGGAAGGTCCGGCCGAGGGGGGTGTGTCCCACCCCCCAGGATTGTAGATTACTCCGACGGTAAGACCCCACATGAGAATATGTTTAGCTTACCCTTAGCCCTTCCCCCGTCGCCCTGGCGGACATCCCCCTGTCGCCCTCAGCTCTGCTCTCTCCTCATCCTCCTCTTTTCTATCTATCCTCCCCCTCCTCCTCCTCCTCCTCCTCCTCCTCCTCCTCCTCCTCCGCCTCCTCCTCCTCCTCGTCCTCCTCCACCTCCACCTCCACCTCCACCTCCTCCTCCTCCTCATCGCCATCCCTCTACCCCTGCCCCCTCCTCATCCTCCTGCCGCTTCTCTATGTGCACATCCTTTCTCCCTGGTCGGGGCAAGCAAGTCGATTTTCCTCGGCGCCGTCGCCGCCTCGGCCAACGCGCGCGCGTTCGCCGACGGCTAGATCGCGAAGCCCCTCTGGGACAGCCCCGCGGGACATGCCTTTGGGCCAACCCCGCGGGCCGCTGGGGCGCGAGGGCAGGCCGTCAGGACAACCCCGCGGGCCAGACCGTTGGGACAACCCCGCGGGCCTCAAGCTGCGCGCCGCGGCGCTCAGGCCGGAGGCAGCACGAAGCCAAGCTTCGCGGCGAGCTGCTCGGCCTCATCCATGAAGTCTTCGCTTTCTCATCGAACTCCTTGAGCGCCTCCCGCAATGACGCCGGCGGCCCGCGCTCCAGAAACTCGCGCGAATGCGGCCGCAGGATCAGCATGTTCCGCATGCACGTGGCGCGGGAGAGCATGACGTAGAGGTGCAGCCACCACTGGTCGTCCGACATGCCCGTGCGGCCAGCGCCCTCGTCCCTCGCGCAGTCGATGGTGACGCCCTTGCGCAACGTCTGGCCCTGCGACAGCGTGGAGGTGAGGTAGGACGCGTGAGTCAAGGTGAACCCCGAGCGGCGCACAGTGTGCGGCCCCGAGCTCTGCCAGGTGAACTCCTGCTCGCTGGGCCTGAACATCAGCTAGCTCCGAGCCCGCGCCTCGGCCTGGCCGTCGTGGTCGGCATCTTCGGCGCCCTGTCGCAGCACCTCGGCGACCTCCTGGTAGATCGGAGACTCATTGAAGCCGCGCACCTGCTGCCAGATCCCCTGCGGTAGGAACCGGGGGCGAAAGAGCTGGCCTGCCGAGCACTCCTCGTGCCGCTGCTCGTCCTCGCGGTGGAACTCAAAGGACACGATGGTGGCCCGTTGCTCCTGCACGAGCCCCAACTTCTTCTTATTCTTCTTCTTCTTATCATCATACCTACCGGTGTGATCTCGCACTGCTTTATTTCCGACCGTGCGCTCTGCTGGTGGTCCTGCTGGTGGTCGTGTTGGTGGTCTTGCTGGTGGTCCTGCTGGTGGTCCTGCTGGTGGTCCTGCTGGTGGTTGTGCTGGTGGTCGTGCTGGTGGTTGCGCTGGCGGTCGTGCTTGTGGACGTGCTGGTGGCCGTGCTGGTGGCTGGTCGTGCTGGTGGTCGTGCTGGTGGTTGTGCTGGTCGTCGTGCTGGTGGATGTGCTGGTGGTCGTGCTGGTCGCTGGTAGTGGTTGTGCTGGTGGTCGTGCTGCTGGTTGTGCTGGTTGTCGTGCTGGTGGTTGGTGGTGCTGGCTGGTCGTGCTGGTGGTCGTGCTGGTGGTCCTGCTGGTGGTCCTGCTGGTGGTCGTGCTGGTGGTCCTGCTGGTGGTTGTGCTGGTGGTTGTGCTGGTGGTTGTGCTGGTGGTCGTGTGGTGGTTGTGCTGGTGGTCGTGCTTGCGGAGGTGCTGGTGGCAGTGCTGGTGGCTGGTCGTGCTGGTGGTTGTGCTGGTCGTCGTGCTGGTGGTTCTGCTGGTGGTCGTGCTGGTGGTTGGTAGTGGTTGTGCTGGTGGTTGTGCTGGTGGTCGTGCTGCTAGTTGTGCTGGTTGTCGTGCTGGTGGTTGGTGGTGTTGGCTGGTCGCGCTGGCGGTCGCGGTTCCTTCCCTGCGCCCCCCTCCCCTTGCACTCGTGCTCCCCCCACCCTGGGCCTCCACAAGCGCCCTCCGCCGTGCCCCCCCCGCCCTCCCCGGGCCCCCCTCCCTTCTTCCTTCCGCGCGCCCCCCCCCCACCGCCCCCCCCCTGCGCGCCTCTCCCGCTCCCGTGCCCCCCACCCACCCCGGGCCCCCGCGCCCTCTTCCCCCGTGCTCTCCTTCTCCCGCGTTCACACGAGCCCCATGCTCTTTTTCCGAACCCGCGGCGCCCCCCCCCTCCACCCCGCTCTCCCTTGCGCCCCCCCCCTCTTGCCCTCTGGCTCCGCTCCCCTCACCCCCCGCGCCCCCCGCGCCCCTCTCCAACGTGCCTTCCCCGCCGCGCCCGGGCGCCCCTCCCTCGTCATTCTCGCACCCGTGCGCCCCCCGCGTCGCCCTGCCCCCTATCCGCCATCTCTCCTTGCCCCCGTGCTCCCCTCCACCCCCCGGCCCCCGCGCCCTTCTCCTCCCTCTCGCGCTCCTCTCCCGCATGTCCCCGGAGCCCCCACCACCCCCCCCCCCCCCCCTTCACTTATTCCGACCGTGCGCCTCCCCCCCCCCCCGCTCTCGCCTTGCGCACCCCTTCTCTTGCCCGGCCATACCTCCCCACCTTTCCCCGCGCCCCGGCGCCCCTCTCCCCGTTGGCTTCCCCGCCCGCCCCGGCCCCCCTCTCCTTATTCGACCGTGCGCCCCCCCGCCGCTCCTTCCTGCGCCCTCTCTCCTGTTGCCCCTGCGCCCCCCTCCACGCCCCCGCGGCCCCCGCGCCTTCCCTCCGCCGCCCCCCCCCCCCGCTCCCCCCGTGCCCCCCTCCCCTTCTTCCGACCGTGCGCCCCCCCGCCGCTCCTCCCCTGCGCCCCTCTCTCCTTGCCCCCGTGCTCTCTCCAGGCCCCCCGGCCCCCGCGCCTTCTCCGTCGTGCTCCCCCGCCGTCCCCGAGCCCCCCCCCACTCCTTATTCCGACCGTGCGCTCCCCCCCCCTCCTCCCCCCGCTCTCCCCTGCGCCTTCCTCCTCTTTGCCCCCGCCCTCCTCGCACCCTCCCCTGCGCTCCCGCGCTCCCCCCCCCTTGCTTCCCCCGTTCTCCCCAGGCCTCTTTAATTCCGACCGTGCGCCCCCGCCGCTCCTCCTCTGCGCTCACTCTCTCCTTGCCCCAGTCGCTCCCTCCCACGCCCCCCGACCCCCCGCGCTTCTCCTCCGTCGCGTTTTCCCCGCCCTCCCGAGCCCCCCCCCCCCGCCGTCCCCGAGCCCCCTTATTCCGACCGTGCGTCCCCTCTTTCCCCCCCGCTCTCCCCTGCGCCTCCCTCCTCTTGCCCCCGTCCTCCTCGCACCCTCCCCGCGCCCCCGCGCCCTTCTCCCCCGTGCTTCCCCCGCCGTCCCCGACCCCCCCTCTCCTTATTCCAACCGTGCACCTGCCCCCCTGCTCCTCCCATTCGCCCCGTTCCCTTCGCCCCGTGCTCCCCCCACGCTCCCCGAGCTTCCGCGCCTTCTCGCCCGCGCTCCACCCGCATTTCCCGAGCCCCCCTCCCCTTATTCCGACCGTGCGCCCCTCCTCTCCCGTTCCTCCCCTGCGCCCCTCTCCCCTTGTACCCGTGCTCCCCCCACGCTCCCCGGACTCCCGCGCCTGCTCCTCCGTGCTCCCGCCGCCCTCCCCGGGCCCCCCTCCCCTTATTCCGACCGTGCGCCCCCCTCCACCGCTCCTCCCCCCTTCCAACGCCCCTACCGCCCTCCCCGGGCCCCCTCCCTTTATCCGAACCGTGCGCCCTCCACCCGCCCCCTCCGCTGCGCCCCGCTCCTCTTGCCTCCGCCCCCCCCCTTCCCCGCCCCCCGCCCGGTCCTTGACCCGCGCGCCCTCCCCCGCTCTTCCCCTGCGCCCCTCTGCCATCGCTCCCGTGCCCCCTCCATTCTTCCGGGCCTCCGCGCCTTCTCCCCCGTGCTTCCACCGCCCCCCCGGCCCACCCTCCCGTTATTCCGACCGCGCGCCTTCGCCCTTTCCCCTTATTTCGACCGTGCGCCCTCCCCCCGCCCCTCCCCTGCGCCATTCTCCCGATGCCCCCGCGCCCCCCCCACTCCCCCCGGGCCCCCCCGCCCTGTCCCCCGTGCTCCCCCCGCCTCCCATGGGCCCCCCTTTATTCCAACCGTGCGCCCCCCTCCACCGCTCCTCCCCTTCGCTTGTCTCCTCTTGCCCCCGTGCTCCCTCCACGCTTCCCGGGCCCCCGCGCCTTCTCCTCCGTGCTCCCCCCGCCGTCCCCGAGCCCCCCTCTCCCCTTATTCCGACCGCGCGCCCTCCCCCCGCCCCCCCTCCGCGCTCCCCCCGCCCTCCCCAGACCCCCCTCCCTTTATTCCGACCGTGCGCCCTCCCCCCGCCCTCCCCTGCGCCCCCCTCCTCTTGCCCCCGTGCCCCCCATCTTCCCGGAGGCCCCATCCCCTTATTCCGACCGCGCGCCCTCCCCCCGGCCCCCCCCCTGCGCCCCTCCCCCGTTGCCCCGGTGCCCCCCTCATTGTTCCCTGGCCGCGCCTTCTCCCCCGTCTCCCCCCGCCCTCCCCGGGCCCCCCCTCCTTTATTCCGACCGCGCGCCCCCTCCCCCCGCCCCCCCCCTGCGCACCCCCTCCCCTTGCCTCCGTGCTTCCCTGCGCGCCCCCACCCTCTCCGGGCTTCCGCGCCTTCTCCCTCGTGCTCCACCCGCCTTCCCCGGGCCCCCCTCCTTATTCCGATCGTGCGCCCTCTCCCCGCCCCTCCCCTGCGCCCCCCCCCCCCCCCTGGCCTCACTGGGCCTTGGCGCCATTGCCGTCTGCCGTCTGTCTCGCATCCGCGATTGTATGATCCTTGGCACGCGTGCCCCTTGTTATTCTTATTAATTGTCTTATTACTCTTATCATTGTTATTCGTATTCTTCTTCTGTTGATTATTCTGATTCTTCTCATGCTTCTTATCGGTATTATTATTAGTCTTACTATTAATATTATTATGATTATGCTTATTAGTATGATGATTATTATTATTACTAGTACTACTAGTATCATGATTATTATTATTATTCTTATTATTATTATCATTCTTCTGATTTCTTCCATTGTCATTATTCTTATTATTATTACCCTTCTTCTTCTTCAGCTCTTCCTGCGCTGCCTTGAATCGCACCTCCATGCCGACGAGGGCCAGCAAGACGCCGTGGATGTCCCCCGTCTTGTGCATGTTCGGGACCTTCAGGAGGCGCCGGACCGCGTCGGGATCGCCGCGTGGGTTCCGATGACCCGCTCGGATTATCAACATGATGTGCGGGCCCCATAAGGAGGACGCTCCCGCTTGAGATTTCCTCGCAATTCACTCACAGACGAGGCTGCCGACTGAGACTTCCTGAATACTCAAGCCTGAGGAGCCCAAAAGTGACGACAGTTACACGTTGCCGATGATCCGCTCGGATTACCCACATGAGGTCCGGGCCCCATAGGGAGGGGATTCCCGCCTGCGACTTCCTCGAAATTCATTCACCGACGAGAATCCCAATCGAGATTTCCTGAATACTCAAGCCTGAGGAGCCCAAAAGTGACGACAGTTACAGGTTGCCGATGGTCCGCTCGGATTCGAGCATGAAGTGCAAGCCCCATAAGGAGGACGCTCCCGCCTGAGACTTCCTCGCGATTCACTCACAGACGAGGCTGCCGACTGAGACTTCCTCAATACGCAAGCCTGAGGAGCCCAAAAGTGACACAGTTACAGGTTGCCGATGACCCGCCTCGGATTCGAACATAAAATGCGAGCCCCATAGGGAGGGACTTCCCGCCTGAGACTTCCTCGCAATTCATTCACAGACGAGGCTCCCGCCTGCATATTCAGGCCTCAGCACCCCAAACGGGACAACAGTTCCACGATTGGGATGACCTGGTCGGATTAGTAACACAAGTGCGGGCCACATGTGGCGGAGGTTCCCGCTTGAGATGTCCTCGCGTTTCACTCACAGACGAGGTTCCAGCCTGAGACTTCCTCCGTATTCAGGCCTCAGCACCCCAAAAGTGACGACAGTCACATGGTTTCGATGACCCGCTCGGACTAAAAAGATGAAGTGCGGGCCCCATACGGACAGGGTTCCCGCCTGAGACACTCAGGCCTCAGCACCCCAAAAGTGACGACAATTACACGGTTCCGATGACCCGCTCGGATTACCAACATGATGCGCGGGCCCCATAGGGACAAGGCGCCCGCCTGAGACTTCCTCGCAACTCACTCACAGACGAGGTTCCCGCCTGATACTTCCCCCATACTCAGGCGTCAGGAGCCCACAAGTAACGCCAGTTACAGGATCCCGATGACCCGCTCGGATTACAACGATGAGGCGCGGGCCCCAAAAGGAGAGGGGTTCCCGCCTGAGACGCCCCCGCAATTCACTCACACAAGAGGTTTCCGCTCGAGACGCCCCCCATATTCAAGCCAGGGAGTGAGTGGTGACGGAGTGAGGAGTGCGCGAGTGGTGATGAGGATGATGCTGATGATGATGAGTGGTGATGATGATGCGCGACCGAGTGATGATGATGGTGGTAAGGATGAGGATGCGAATGATGATGATCCATCGAATGATGAGGATGTTGTTGATGATGAAGATGCGAATGGTGTGAGTGTGGATGAATGTGATGATGATGGTGACGATGATGAGGATGATGATGAGTAGTGACGATGAGTGGTGATGATGATGATGATGATGATGATGATGATGCTGATGATGATGATGATGGTGAGTGAAGGGGAGAGGGGTGGGAGGTGAGGTGAGGTTCTTGCGCGAGGTGTCCAGAGAAAGCAAGAAACCCACTTTGGATGTGGGGAAAATCATAGAACAGGGAAGATGTGTATGTGTGTACATGTACGGATCTAGTGTACACACGTCCTTTTTGACACACCCATACATCTATGTGTGTGAGCCATAAGTGTTTCCAGCGATAGATACGCGGGTGGGGGTTGGGAGCAGAGATTCATTGGACAACGTTGATTTACGCATTGATTGTGGAAGAGGTATGGTTTTCTCCCGTTGCCGCTCTAGCGTCTTATGTCCTCGCGTACTTGTCAAAGAATTTACAAGTTAGACCCGAGAACGAAATCGTGAGGCGCTTAGGGACATTATGCACCCCCCGGCAGGTACCACCAGCAGGAGGAGAAATTATCGAAAGAGCAGATGTTCGAACAGTTCGATGCTGACAAGGATGGGTCGGTGAGCGAGGCCGACTTCATCAAATTCTTCACTGCTTGCAAGAAGGATGAAGCCAAGAACGAGGACGGCACCACGCCGCCCAAGAAGGATCCTCCGTCTGAGGAGGCGTTGAAGAGGGTATTCAAACAGCTCGACGAGGACGAGGAGGGGTCTCTCAGCAAGGAGAGGCTGGGCGTCATCGTCCGCAGGCTGATGAAGGTCGCCTCCGAGACTGCGATCTCCTCGGGAATGAGCATCAAGGAGAGCCGCGAAAGCATCAACCGCACACTTGCACCGAGGGTGGGCCCAGGATCGGCGCGCCAGCCTCCTGGCCGAGCCCGGAGAGCGTGCGGCCTCTCCTCGAACGCTGCATGTTTCTGTGGCATCGGCCCCGCGGATCTCGCTCTCGTGTCCCCAGGGGCGGCGTTACTACTTTTCCTCCCTATCCTCCCACCATCCCCATCATCAGTTTCCGATCATCGTCATCATCATCATCATCATCATCATCATCATCACCATCATCATCATCATCATCATCATCACCACCATCATCATCAGCGTCGTCGTCATCATCAAGCTCACAGTCACCATCATCATCATCGACGCCATCGTCGTCATCGCCAATACCGTCACACTTGTCAGAGCATGAATAAGAGCAGCAATAAAAATAGTAGAACCATCATCGTCATCACCATCATAAGCATCACCATCGTCATCGTCACCATCACCATCACCATCACCGTTAACATCATCATCGTCACCACCAGCATCACGATCACCGTTATCATTACCAACATAATCATCAGCGCCATCGCCATCATCAGCATCAGCATCAGCAATATCATCATAATCATCTTCGTTAACAGCGTCGTCAACATCATCAGCATATCATCATCATCTTCTTCATCACCTCGGACTGCGTGTACTGAAAGTGATGTTCTCAAGGCGTACGATCGTACCAGACACCATCACATCCTGAAGTCATTCCTGAAGCGGTGAGTGCACGATGCTATCGCGGCACAGGTTATCCGTCATGTACGTTCTGCGCGCCACCACATCAAGCTCAGCGATTGCGAGACCATCACCATCTTCAATTATCAGATCTCCATATCTCCATGCATCATTATCAACATCGTCTAGTGAATAGAGGGGGGAGGGAGGGGAGGGGTGAGAAGGGTCCGGCGCGGTCAGAGTAATAACAAGAACCCCATCGTAGGATATGGGGAAGAAAAGGAGGAAGTCTCGAGCGGTAGCGTTGTTGTTGCTGGGGGCGGCGCAGATGAGAGAAAGAGTAGCGCGCCTGTCCAAGGTAAATCGGGAGGAAGTCTCGAGCGGTGGCGCTGGTTTCGTTGGGGCGGCGGCTTCCGGCGGCGAGCAAGAGCACCGGCCTTGAGTAAAAAAGGAGGAAGTACCGAGCGGGGGCGTTGTTGTTGTTGGGGGGCCGGAATTGGCGCCCCCCCAAACCGTTCGAGCGCGAGCCTCATTTTCAATACAAATTTAGCCGGCGCCGAGGCGAGAGCGCCAAAGCGCCTGGGGGGGTCCAACATTAATATTTGGTTAGTAAATAACATTCAACAGCAACAACAACAACAACAACAACAACAGCAACAACAACAATAGTAGCAAGAAGAACCAGAACAAGAACAAGAACAAGAACAACAACAACAACAACAACCATTTTAAGGCTGTACGCTCTTACTTGCCCGCGAGTCATTCAACACGTATACCCTACACCCTCGATACCCGCCCTCTTCGTCTTCGATCACACCCCTTTCGGGGGGATTATTTCTCTTTGCTGGGGCCGGCGGGCTTAGACGTACGGGCAAACCGGAACGGGCGGACAATCCTTCGGGGGCGTACATCTCTCTGCCCGCCATTGGAATTGGCGCGGGCCCTGCAAGAGGAGGAGGGGAAGAACGAGGGAGAGTGGGAGGAAGGGGAGGGGGAAGGACGAAGGAAGAGGGAAGATACCACGTTGTGAAGGCGTCCTTGGCGCGTGCGTGGTTCCTGAGCGCCAAACGCAATTCCAGAATAATTTGTGAGGACGTCGCACGCGAGAGCGCAGTCCTGAGTACATTGTGAGGAAATCTCGGGCGGAAGCGGGGGCCCTGACTAAGTTGCGAGGAAGTCTCAAGCGGGAGCGCCGTTCCTGAGCAAATTGCACGGAAGTCTCAGGCGGGAGCGGGGGTCCTCACTAAATCGCGAGGAAGTCTCAGGCGGGAGCGCCGTTCCTGAGTCAATTGCGCGGAAATGTCAGGCAGGAGCGGGGGTCCTGAGTAAAATTCGAAGAAGTCTCAGGCGGGAGCGCCGTTCCCACGTAAATTGCACGGAAGTCTCAGGCGGGAGCGGGGGTCTTGATTACATTGCGAGGAAGTCTCAGACGGGAGCGCCTTTCCTGAGTAAATTGCGCGGAAGTCTCAGGCGGGAGCGGGGATCCTGAGTAAAAATCGAGGAAGTCTCCGGCGGGAGCCGTTGTTGTTGTAGCCCGGGGGGCAGGGGCACAGTTTGAGCAGGAAGACTTTCCTCGAGAAAAAACAAGGTGCGAGCCCCGGGGGTGGCGCTTCATTCGAAAAAAATCAATGTGCACCGGTGGGGGGGGATCAACAATAATTATTCTTCAAGAATGCGAGTTCAACAACAACAACAACAACAACAACAACAACAACAACAACAACAACAACATCAACATCAACATCAACATCAACATCAACATCAACAATAAATTTAAGACTGTTCGCTCTTCTCTGCTCGAGTGTCCGCTAACACGTATTTCCCAACCCTCGATACCCGCACTCTTCGTCTTCGATCGTACCCGACCCCTTTTGGGGGATATACCTTTCTTCCCTGCAGGCTGGGCCTCGGCAAGCGGCGGCGCGGCCGCGGACCGTCGGCCTGGCCAGCGGCAGCGCTGATCGGCGGCAACCCGACCCCAAGAGGGACGGACAGGGGACCGACCACGACGACGACGACGACGACGTCGACGACGACGACGACGACGGCGACGACAACGACGACGAGCGAAAGCGAGAGCGAGAGAGAGAACCACAGCAGGGCCACGAAGGGCAACGAGGGGGCCAGGAAGGTCGACAGCGGGGACACGAAGAGAATGCGCACGGGGCCACGAAGAACGCGGACGAGCGGGGGCCACGAAGGGCAGATAATGCCGGGCCACAGGAGGCAACGAGGGGGCCGCTGAGGGCAGCCACTGGGCCACGCAGGACAGCGAGGGGGCCACAAAGGGCGACAGCGGGGCCACGAAGGGCATGCACATGGGGCCACGAAGGGCGCGAACGAGCGGGGGCCACGAAGGGCATACACGTATGGGGCCACGACGGGCAGCGAGGGGGCCACGAAGGGCTGCAACGGGGCCACGACGGGCAGCGACGGAGCCACGAAGGGCTGGAACGGGGCCACGAAGGGCTGCAACGGGGCCCCGAAGGGCAGCAACGGGGCCCCGAAAAGCTGCAACGGGGCCACGAAGGGCAGGCCGCGAGGGGGCCACGAAGAGCTGCAACGGGGCCACGAAGGGCAGCGAGGGGGCCACGAAGGGCTGCAACTTGGCCACGCGGGGCAGCGAGAGGGCCACGAAGGGCTGCAACGGGGCCGCGCACGGCAGCGAGGGGGTCACGCAGGGCTGCAACGGGGCCACGAAGGGCAGCGAGGGGGCCACGAAGAGCTGCAACGGGGCCACGAAGGGCAGCGAGGGGGCCACGAAGGGCTGCAACTTGGCCACGCGGGGCAGCAACGGGGCCACGAAGGGCTGCAACGGGGCCACGAAGGGCAGCGAGGGGGCCACGAAGGGCAGCAACGGGGCCACGAAGGGCAGCGAGATCCCGATTCCTAAGTGATCTGTGAGGGAATCCTAAGCGTGAGCGTGACTCCTGGGTGCCTGAGTTACGGGGGCGTGGCGCTTGAGTAAATTTCGGGAAATTCAAACGCAAGGGCGCTATTCTTGAGTAACTTGCAAGCAAGTCTCCAGCGAGAGCGCGACTCCAGAGCGCCGAGAAGCGATTCCTGAGTAAATTGCACGGAAGTCCCAAGTGAGAGCGCGACTCCTGAATAAAATGCGAGGAAGTCTGCGGCGGGAGCGGGCTGGCTAAATTGTGAGGAAGTCTCAGGCGGGAGCCGTTGTTGTTGTAATCTGGGGGCCAACAGAACATTTTGAGGACGAAGACTTTCCCTTATAAAAAGCCGGGTGCGAGCGCCAGGAGGGGCACTACAACTGAAAAGTACAATGTGCACCGGAGTGGGGATCAACAATGATTACAATGCCGTTACCAAAGTTTTGACCATTTCGTCGACGAACCCCCCTCCCCCCGTAGAATCCTACAACATGGCATCCGCCTGTCGCGAAGTAGGTTTCGGATCCCGCCCACACCACTTCTCCTTAGTTTTATATATTGATTACGGCGTACAAACTTAATTTGCACGTTTTTTGACGTGGATTAACTTACTCCGCGTTCTTGTTGAACTTACTCCGCGTTGTGTTTTAGCTGAAGAAAACAAACTCCGCGCCCACCGAAACTTACCCAGCCCGTGTTTTACGAGGGTGAGCGGCTTCTGCTGTGCATGGGCATATGTCCGTCGTTCAGTTTTGCCCGAGGGCGCGCTGGCCGCAGGTTCGGCCTTGGGATTTGCAAGAATGGTCAACAACTTTAGCAACGGCAGAGTATTCTTCAGTAGTGAGAGTTCAACATCAGGCACTGCAAGTCACCAGAGAGCGTGGGCAAGTGGCAGCGACGAGCAGCAGCGCAGAATGCTCGCCGCTGGTGGCCCTGGCGCGGGCACCACCTGTACCGCCATCGCCCTGAGGAGGACGACTTCGTCCAGGATGCGCATTTCGTGGTTGCCAGCATGGCACGGTTTGCTGAGCTCAAGGTCCCAGCCGGAGTTGCCTGTCGTGTCCTCGACACCACGGACAACGTGTGCGGCGCAGCACTGTGCGTCGCGGATCGCAGGGTGGGCAGCGCAGCCGGCCACGCGACCACCTGCAAAACGGGGCGGAGCGCCAGAGGCCCCACCGCGCCTTGTTCATTGGGCTGGCGCAGTTGGCCCGTCAAGCAGGAGTCGACGCGTCGTTGTCAGGGCGCCTGCGGCCACAGATGCATGGTGCTAAGTCGGGCACGTCCCTTTACAGGAGAAATATTCCAAAATGGTTACAAAAATAGTCCTGGGACGATTTGTTGATGAGTTGTTGACCATTTGGGGGCATTTTTTGCATATCGGCCTGTAGGGGAACACACCCGACCTAAGCAGGGTGGTGGGACGTCACGACCCGCAGCCCGCGCGTGGCAGGGAAGTGCACGCGCACGAAGGCGCAGCCCCGGGGCGGCGGGGCACCTGGTCTCCAGGGCACGGCCGCGAGGAGCGGCGCAGAAGTGGCCGCGCTGAGCTGCGAACCGTCTGGGCGCCTCCACCAACAGGTGGTGGAGGAGGAGGAGGAAGAGGAGGAGGAGGAAGAGGAGGAGGAGGAGGAGGAGGAGGAGGAGGAGGAGGAGGAGGAGCAGGAGGAGGAGGAGGGAGGGGGGGAGAGATGGGGAGAGATCGGGAGGGAGGGAAGGAGGGAGGAGGAGGAGGAGGAGGAGGAGGAGGAGAAGGAAGGGGGGGTCGCCCAGGGGGGGGGCGGTCCCAGGCGCTCCCCGGCACTCCTAGGCACTCGCCCTTAGGCGCTGGCCCAGGCGCCCCTAGGCGCTAGCCCAGGCGCCCCGAGGCGCTGGCCCAGGCGCCCCTAGGCGCCTTCGATCGGCATGATGGTCGCGGAGCTCGCCTCCATCAAAGGGGCGCGGCCCAGCATCTTGATTCAGGCGATCGCAAACATGGATCAAAGGGGCGTCGTGGATTAGCGACGGGTCCCGTTTCCCTAGGAAATCTGGGATTCCCGCCGCCGAACGAGGCGGCACTGGCCGCATTTTGGGGAGGGCACCTCCCCCGATCCATGGATTTGGCGACCGCGCGCCAAATCCATGGATCACTGATCCATGTTTGCGCGCCCCCGATTGATGCAATTGCGGCGCCGGAAGCTGGAGCGCACGCTGGTCGTGGCGCAGGTAGACGTCGCGCTGCTCTGCCCGGGCTGCTGCGCTGCCGGCACCCACGCTCGCCGCCTCGCTTGTGTCGCCGGCTAGGCTGCGAGGCGCCAGCAGCACGGCTTCACGCTGAGAGCTTGGAGGCACAGAGGTAGCAGAGTTTCGGCACTGGCAGAGGGGTATCACCATCATCATCAGCATCAGCATCATCAGCATCATCATCATCATCATCATCAGAATCATCATCATTCATCATCACCACTATCATAATCAGAATCGTAGTCACCACCACCATCAACATCAGCAGCATCATCATCCCCGTCAGAACTCTGGCACAACTGGCACAACTCTGGCACAACTGACTGGCACAACTCTGGGACAACTCCCCCCATAGCGATTATGTATCCAGCTGCATGCGGCAAGTCCCGCCACCGTGCCATCCCAGCATTCTTGGTGGCAGCTGCTGTCGGAGTCGTCGGGGGGGTCGAAATCAACGTCGGAATCGGAATCGAAGTCGGAGCAGGAGCTGGAGCCGGAGCCAGAGTCGGAGTCGTTGTCGTCGTCGTCGCCGTCGTCGTTGTCCTCGTCGGCGGTGTCGGAGTCGTCGGAGTCGTCGCCCTCATCATCGTCGTCGGAGTCGTCGAATCGTCGGAGGCGTCGGAGTCGTCGGAGTCGGAGTCGTCGAAGTTCTCAGAGTCGTAGTCGTCGGGGCCACAGCTGGAGTCGGAGTCGGAAACGGAGTCGTCGTCGTCGTCGGAGTCGAGTCCTCGGAGTCCTCGGATACGTCGGAGTCGTCGGGGTCGGAGTAGAAGTCGTCGTCGTCGGAGTTGTCGAGTCGTCGGAGTCGGAGTTGGAATCGTCGTCGTCTTCGTCATCGTCTAAGTCGAATCTGTCGTTGTCAGAGTCGTCTCCTCACCGCCCGAAGGCCCGTTGGATGCTGACTTCGTCGCGCGCGTCACTGAAATTCACCTTCATCACCATCCTCACCGTCATCATCATCACCATCGTCATCACCATGATCATCATCATCAGCATCAGCACCAGCATCATCACCATCAGATCGTCATCAGCATCAGCATCAGTATCATCAGTATCATCATCATCATCAGCAGCAGCAGCAACAGCATCATCATAGTCATCATCCTCGTCATCAGCATCATCATCACCAGAATCGCCTTCGTGTGCATCACCATGTGTATTAGAATCATCATCATCATCAGAATCGTCACCACCATCATCATCATCATCATCATCATCAGCAGTGTCATCATCAGCAGCATCAGCATCATCATCATCATCATCAGAATCAGCATCATCTTCAACACCATCATCACCATCATCATCATCATCATCGTCATCAGCATCAGCATCAGCATCAGCATCACCACACCACCATCGTTACCATCACAATCATTACCGTCATCGCCGCCATTACCATCAGCAGCATCCTCATCCTCATCGTCATCATCATAATCATCATCATCACCATCATCGTCATCATCGTCATCACCATCATCACCATCATCATCACCATCATCACCATCATGACCCTGAGGAGGGGACGGCGAGAAGAAAGCGTGCCGAACCTGCATGCGCACGGGCTCCATCTCCAACGGCCAAGGCTCAGCCCAGAGAGCACTCTGGCCCGCCGGCGACCCGCAGGCGCGCACGCCCCCACCCTCTCCCCCCCCCCCCCCCCCCCCCGGAGGACAAGGAGAGCAAGACGGTGCGGCGCCTGGAGCTGGACGAGGTGGTGGACGTGCTGGAGGGCCCCATCGAGGACGAGACGGCAGGGGTGCTGCGCGTCCGAGCGAAGGCTCAGGGGCAGCGCAATGCGGGGGCGAGGCTCAGGTGGAGTCGGGCCTGCCCCTTCTACAGGAGGGAGGTTCAAAGATAGTCAGGAAGATAGCCTGGGGACGATGTTTGAGCATGTTTTGATTATTGTGGGGCATTGTTTTAGTATTTTAAATGTTTCGTCCAGCATCCGCCTGTAGGGAGATGGGCTCGACCTAAGGCTCAGGGGGGAACGACTTTCTCGGAATCGAGGTCCCAGGTCTCCAAGCGCTTTCGACGCCTCTCGGCGGTTTTCCAGCCCTGGGGTGCGTTCCAGCAGCTGCGCCTCACCGAGATCGTTCGGCGGGTGCCCGGATCGCCCCGAACGGCCGCTTGAGGCCCAAGTTATGACCCGAAAACCACCAGTGGCAACGTTAGGGCACGGTACAGTGCCGTTTTTTATACATGCTCCGCGCGCGGATCATGCATTAAAAATGCAGGGATTTAGTGTTAAAAACAACGACGAGTTCATGCATACATTTAATCATACATTAATCATAAATTGAAATCCTATATGTCTTTAAATCATATGTATTAAAGACTGCCCTGTAGGCTCAGGGGGGAGGGGACTTCGACCCGAATCACCCGTTCAGCACCGAGAGGGGGCTCGGTAGCCCACCCCGCCCCACAGCGCGCGGAGTTGCTGCCAGGGGCCTGTCGCCGATCCATCGGCGACGCATCGCCGATTCCAGCTCGAGGCTGCCTCCCCCTGAGCCAGGACCCCCCGCACGTTGCCCCTCAGAGGCGATGAAGGACGGCGCCGAGGGGTGGATCTCTCTGAAGGGCAACAAGGGCACGGACTACCTGGTGGACGGAGGCTTCCTGTTCAAAGTCGTCAAGGAGTGTCGGTGGGGAGCAGCTTCCCGGCTTGGGCGAAGGGGAGCTCGGAGAGAGGGATCGTGCGTGGCAGGTCCGTCTCTTTTCGAGTACGCTGGATGAGGACAAGGAGGAGGAGGAGGAGGAGGAGGAGGAGGAGGAGGAGGGACCCAGAGCTGGATGGGGGCCCAGCCAGGTGCCAGCCCTCTCGGTGGGAGCAGGTCAGGGGCCACGTTTGGCGGGAGCGCCGAAAGTGCACGGCCGTGCGCACGGCAGGAGAAGCCGCGGGCCTTCTCCTAGAACAGATGTGGGCTCGTCCGAGTTAGACGATTCGCGCTCGCCGCGCGCCCGCTTTGATCCGGGTTGCGCGGAGGGCGGCAGTCAATCCGTAATGTCTCGGGGCGGCGGGGGGGGCATTTTTCCTTCTCGAAACAGTTGGCACTCGCGGCGTGCTTCTCGGCGATGATGAAGAGTTCGACCTCAGAGCAACCCTCCACTTCTGCATTAGTCGGCCGCCTGGCGGTTGATCGGGAGTTTCTGTATGTTCGAGGTGAGGCTTGCGCCTTCTCCTTTGCCCTTCCTTTGTCATGCCCTTTTTGGTGGCTGCAGCGTGGAGAAAACGAAGAATTGCAGGCAGTTCGGAAAGGCGCGGAGTAGGGTGAACGTTGTGAACGCCTTGGGGAATATCTTACCGAGGGGCCCAACCTTCAGGTGGCCACAGGTGCTGTTACCTCTGGGGCACAATCCGCGTGCGGGTGTGCCGAAATAATGGACGCTAGTACGCCACGCGAGCATCTCAATTGGGTGCCTAGGTGGAGCTCCCCGAGGGGCACGATTCCGCGTGAGGGGTGTGCCGAAATGGGCAAGGAAACACCGTGCGAGAACCTCCACTGGGGCCATAGGTTGAGCTCCCTACGGGCCGCGATCCTCAGTAGATGTGTCGAAATGGGCGCGGGGACGCAACGCGAGCTTCCCACTTAGGGCCGCAGGTGAAGCTGCGGCAATGGGCGCGGGAACGCCGTCCGAGTGGACCTCCGTACGGGGCACCATCCGCCTGAGGCGGGTGCCAAGATGGACGACGCCATGCGAGCACTTCTAGTGGGGCAGAGGTGGAGCTCATTATGAGCCACAGTCCGCGTTACGTGTGCCGAAATGGGCGTGGGGACACCATGCGATCCCCCAGCTGGGGCCATAAGTTGAGTTCCCTATGGGGCACGATCTGCGCGAGTGGTGTGCTGAAGTGGGCGCGGGAACGCCATGCGAGCACATCCGTTGGTGCTGTATGTGGGGCCCCCCACGGGGCACGATCCGCCTGAAGTGGTGCCGGAATGTGCGCGGGACAGCTATGCGAGCACGTCTGCGGCCCCCCCCTTCCAATTTGAGGTAATAAGTGGAGATCCCTATGGGAGGGTTGCGCCGAAGCGAGCGTAGTAGAATCAGCAGCGGACGGGAAGGCACGAGAGAGGAGGAGGAGGAGGAGGAGGAGGAGGAGGAGGGAGAGGAGGAGGAGCCAGGAGGAGGGGGAGGGGGACGGGGGACGGGGACGGGGACGGGAAGGGGGGGAGGGGGAGGGGGAGGGGAGGAGGAGGAGGGGGAGGGAGAGGAGGAGGGGGAGGAGGAGGAGGAGGGAGGAGGAGGAGGAGGAGGAGGAGGAGGAGGAGGAGGAGGAGGAGGAGGCGGGAGGAGGATGGACGGAGGAGGGTATTAGGCCATGCTCAACTATCTTGGGCCACTTTGAGGCTGTTTTGAAGCCTCTTGGAGGTCTGTCGGGGGGTATCCTGACCCATGCTCGGCCTCCCGGGACCGGCTTGGGGGTAGGAGGAAGAGGAGGAGGAGGAAGAAGAGGAGGAGGAGGAGGAAGAGGAAGAAGAAGAAGAAGAAGAAGAAGAAGAGGAAGAGGAGGAGGAGGAGGAGGAGGAGAAAGGAGAGGAGGAGGCCCGCAGCCATTTTGGCTCGAGGCCCCCGAGCCAGCGTTTGCGCCGCGATGGCTCTGCCTCGCGGCGTGCCGGCGCGCGGCCCTCCGTCGTCGAGGGCGGGCGGCGAGGGAGGTCCTGGTCGAGGCCTTCGCCGCGCGCCTGCTCGTCCATGGGGCGGGCGTTCCCCCCCTTGCCTGGCCCGGCGAGGGGCAGTCGCTGGACGCCAAGGGCGTGCGCCTCCAGCGCAAGAAGTACCCCCCCAGGGGGTGCTCTGGTGCAGCTGCTTTTGGGGCCCCTGCCCGCGCCCGTTTTTGCCGGTGCTGCTCCACGGTGCTCCCCTCTTGCTTTGGCACTCGGACGTGCTGGGGAAGGTGTTCCTGACTGCACGTGGTGGGGCAGCGGTGCCCACGTCCCGGTCGGAAGCCCAACGTAGCTTGGCTGTCGCTCTCGCCTTCGCCCCGGTGGCCGGCGACTCTGTCGACGAGGCGCAGGCGACGTGCTGAGACGCGTCAGGCGCGCGTCCTCTGTGCTTGCACGGGCGCGCTGCGCAGTGTTACCGGGAGGAGGAGGAGGAGGAGAAGGAGGAGGAGGAGGAGGAGGAGGAGAAGGAGGAGGAGGAGGAGGAGGAGGAGGGGGGGGAAGGAGGAAGAGGTGGAGGAGGAGGGGGAGAGCAGGAGGAGGAGGAGGAGGAGGAGAGAGGAGGAGAAAGGAGACGAGAGGAGAAGAGAGGTGGACACGGAGCAGATTAAGGGAAGGGACGGGGAAGCGGGAGAAGGAGGATATGGCGCGCGCGGCGCTTCGGGGAGAAAACGGGGGGGCCCAACAACTCAGGAGGGCTGGGAACAGATAATCGGCTTACGCTTCAAAGCTTTTGAGGGCACCCTCTAGGGAAACAACGCAACACAATATACATTTCCATATGGGAAAGTGCCCGGTGAGATGGAAGGAAAGGGGGGGGAAAGGACGGTAGGGGCCGGACGCCAGGGCGCGCGTTTCCCGTCGCGCCACTCCAGTCATTCCCCCCCCCCCTCGCATTCAGCCACAACGCCCCGAACTCTACTCCACTTCTCCGCCCTCCTCTCCACTCCTCTACGCTCTACCCTGCCCCCCATACCGCGGTCGCGCGCTGGACTGAAGCGCTGGGGGAGCACAGAGGACGGCGAGGAGCTGGCAGAATGTGCGAGGGGGGCGGGGGGTGGCATGTCAGACCAATCCCAACCGACCAGTACCAATTACAACCGACCTGGTCACTTCTCCACCGGCCACAGAGCAATTTGGTACCGATTACAACCAGCCAACATTTGGTACCAATTGGGACTCTGTGTGTAAACTTGTTGGGACGATTCAGACATCAAATGAACGTCTTAAGAGTACGTATTCATTCTGGGTGTGAACATGAGTGCCCTGGTTGGACTAGGTACTAGTGTATGTTCTGGCATGTGGGAGCTGCGTTGCCTTGCAACATCAACTTCCAACAACACATAGCACCTCAAGACAACAACATCTATCCAACACAACGACATGCACTCACAACACACACACATGTTTCACAACAACGCATATCCAAAGCCCGACTTCTCACCCTCCTTGTCATCGTCCGTGCCTTCCTTCATTCTTTCCTGCCTCCTCCCTCGTCCTCCTGATCCGCCTCCTCATCATCATTATCATCATCATCATCAGCATCATCATCATCAGCAGCATCATCATCATCATCATCATCGTCGTCATTCTCATCTTCCTCGCGATGCATTTCTCCTCCTCCTCCCCCTCCTCCTTCTCCTCCTCATCCTCCTCCTCTGTTTCCCCCTGCTCGTGCTTCTCTATGTCCTCCTCCTCCTTCTCAACCTCCTCCTCCTCCTCCTCATGTTCCTCCTCTTCGTCCTCCTCCCCTTCCTCCTTCACCTCATTCGCCCTCCTCCTCCTCTTCCTCATCTTCCTCCTCCTCCTCTTCCTCTTTTTCCTCCTCCTCCTCATCGTCATCATCCTCATCCCTCCTCCTCTTCTTTTTCCACCTCCCCTTGCTTCTCTATGTGTCCTGCTCCTCCCCCTTCTCCACCTCCTTCTCCTCTTCCTCCTCATATTCCGCCTCATCCTCTTCCTCCTCCTCATCTTCCTCCTCCTTGTCCTCCTCATCAGCATCATCCTCCTCCTCTTCCTCCTCCTCCTCTTGCTCCTTCTCCTCCTCCTCCTCTTCCTTCTCCTCCTCCGCCTCCTTCTCGTCCTCCTCCTCCTCCTCCTCCTCCTCCTCCTCCTCCTTCTCTTCCTCCTACTCCCAAGCTGGTCCCAGGAGGCCGAGCATGGGTCAAGGTAGCCCACGACAGACCTCCAAGAGGCTCCAAGACAGCCGCAGAATGGTCCAAGATAGTTGAGCATTGCTCAGGATGGCCTCCGTCAGCCTCTAGCCGACCAGGGCTCAAAATAGCCTTCAAGGGCCCCGAAAAAGCTTCTGATCGTGACTGGACGGGCTGGAGAGGATACGCGAAACGTCAAGCGTCAACGCGTTTGTTTGAGCATGCACTCAATAGGGAAGTGGGGCAGGTGGCGGCGGCGGAGGGCAAGGTGTCTCGTTCGGCAGCCCTCTCTCTCCCTCCCCGTGGATTCAGAGGCCCCCTGAACCCCCAAGGGCACGACACGCTTCCACTGGAAGCGTCGCCCGCTTGAGCTTGGAGAACCCCGCGCCCGCAGGAAAGGAAGCAGGGGCCGAACGACTCGGCGGCGGCGGCGGGGGAGGGCAAGGCGCTCCCTCCCCATGGTTTCGGGGACTCCCCAGACCCCCGAGGGCACGAAACCATTCCATTGGAAGCGTCGCCTTCGTGGGCTCGGGGGATCCCGCGCCCGCGGGAGGGGAGGCGGGGGCCGAGCGATTCGGCGGCGGCGGCGCGGGGCAGAGCGACCCGTCCGCCCCTCCCTTCTCTCCCTCCCCATGGCTTCGGGTGGCCCACCGAGTGGCTCCGAGGGCACGAAGCGCTTCCACTGGAAGCGTCTCGCCCTCGGGGCCCGTTGAGCTCCGCGCCCGCGAGAGAGGAGGCGGGGGCCGAACGACTCGGCGGCGGCGGCGGAGGGCCAGGCGACTCGTTCGGCCACGCGCCCCTTCCCCATGGGTTCGGGGGCCCCCCGAATTCCCGAGGGCACGAAACGCTTCCACTGGAAGCGTCGCCTTCGGGTGTCTGGGGAATCCCGCGCCCGCAAGAAAGAAGGCGGGGGCCGAACGATTCGGCGGCGGCGGCGGGGGGCACGGCGACTCGTTCGGCCACCCTCTCCCCCCCCATAGTCTCGCGAGCTCCCCGAGACCCCCCGAGGGCACGAAATTTTCAGGAATCCTCAGGAACAGGAACCGTGAGGAACCCGCAGGAATCCTTCACGAAGTCTTCACAAATCCGTCGGGGATCCTTCAGAAATTCTTCAGGAACCCACACAAAGCCTTCGAGGAATCCACGGGACCCCTGAGCAATCTCTCAAGGGTTTGGAAAAAATAATTTCTGGGAATCCTTCGGACTCTTCAGGAATCCTCGGGGATCCGTAAGGAATCCTTCAATAGCCCCAAAAAACGCTTGGAATCCTGAGAATGTTCAGAAATCCACCATGATTCTTCAGAAATCCGCCCGGAAACTCGAGAAATCATTCTGGAACCCTATCGGAATATTCCGAAATCCCGAAGGAATCTTGAGAAATCCTTCAGGAAACTGCAGGAATCGTTCAGGAATCCTCAAGAACATTCATGAATCCTCAAGAATTCTAAGGAATATCCGGTGATCTTCCACGAAACCTGCGGAACCCGCAGGAATCCTCCGAAATCCTTCCGGAATCTGAAGAAATCAGTCCGGAGCCCAGGCCCCCCCCATGCCCTAACGCGATTTGGAGGTCCAGAGGAGGGGGGACAGGGGGAAGGGGACAGCCAATCACCTCACACGCCTTTGCGCCCCTGGCAAGCGGGGGTCGGTGGATCTTGAGCACCATCCTGATTGTCAGCACCAGCATCATCATGGCCTTTGTCATCGTCATCACCACAATCACCATCGTCGTCGTCATCATATCCTCCACCACCGTCGTCGTCTAATTCATTTGATGTCATATTCGATGTCGTCGCACTCGTCGTCATCGCTATCGCCATCACCATCAGCATCATCATTATCACCGTCATCATCAGCAGCAGCAACAGCATCAGCATCATCACCATCAGTAACAAATCATCAATTCCACCACAATCATCATCGTCATCATCGTCGTCGTCGATGTCGTCGTTACCGATGTCGTTGTCACCATGGCCACTCGCCCGCCCGAGTCTTGGATCTGCATGAGCAGGGGCTGCGCATCACTGAGCAACTTGAGATTCACGATCAGGTTCTGATGGGTAACTGCATTCACGGCCTTGATGAGTTGTGCCGAGAAGTTGTGGGAGGGTGGGTGGGATGTTTGTTCGAGCATGGGAGGTGGTCGCGCGCGGATCCCCACAGTCCAAAAACACCCCATGGTTTGCACCGTGGTCTTCGCGTTGGGTCCACACGCGCCAGTGTCAGCCAGTCTTGTTTTGTGACGGAGAGTGCCCAGGACTCTATACGTTGCGCCAGTCGAGGCAATCAGCGGTCAACGAGATCCATACCAGTATTCGGGGCGTCCCAGAAAAGCTTCGCTTTCGAGGGATCAAAAAGCTGACATCTCTGCCGCGGCCGGAAGTAAAAGGGGAGCGGCTTTGCTGGCGGAAGCCGGTGGGCGTTCGGCGGAAAGGCGGCGGAAGCAAAACCAGGGTTTCGGGAACCCGCCACGTAGGCAGCAGGGCCAGCGTGGCTTGCCAGGGCACGGCGGCGAATGGATTTCTTGGCACGCTTGCGCAGCCAGGGCGCACGGGGCTGCCGTCGGAGGCAGCGGCCGAAGGCGCTCCCGCACACCAAGGCGTTCGAGCCAGCGGGGCGACGCGCGGCGGGTCGGGTCGCTGCGGCCAAAGGAAACCCGCCGCACCAAGCAAGCTCTCAAAGTCAAGAGGGATGCTTTTGTACAAGCACAGTTTAGGAAGTGAGTGGGACCTTCTCAGCGCTTGCATATCAGCGGCAGTGTCACTGCCAGTGTACAGCGCATGTTTTCAGCCGTTCCAAGGACACGATAATGACTGCCGCCTTCGAGCTGGACGCCCCGGTGGACAAGAACAAGAAGGACCCGACCAGGAAGTTGAAGGAAGGAGAGCTCCTCGAGGCCAGCTCAGAAGCCAGAACCACCAGGAAGCCAAAACTCCGCGAGGCTGAAGTCCGTTCGGCCTGATTTCTACACTTGCAAAACGTGGATTGGATTCCCAGTGAATCTCGAAAGGATTTCTACCCTGCGGAGTCGCGCCCTCCTGGTGTCTCTGTCATTTAGGTGAGGGAGTGGCCCAAGCTCGAGGAGAAGTCCAACCTCACCAGGATGAAGTGCAAGGCGAAGTCGGATGGTTTGGTCGGATGGGTTACCACCGTCGGCAACGCGGGCACGGTATTCGTTTCTATGGTGTGATGTTGGCCCGCGTCGGACGGAGTGCGCGGCGTCCATCGCTAAAAAGATCTCGCACCCATGTTAGGCCGTATTGGGCACGATGTGGAGGTATGGGTTGGGTCAGTCTTTACATTGTAATTGCATGTTTGACGGCGTGCGCTTCGGGGTCATTCTGCTCAAAGCTTACCTGCGCACTCATGTCATGTCGTGCCACACAGGGGTCGCATGCTCCTGACCGCCTCAGCCTGTGCGCCAGCGTTTGGCGTTCAAATCCTGACATCCGGGCACATGGCGCGCCGCGAGCAGGAAGACGCCCCTGCTTGCTGTCCGCCGTCGCCGCCAGACCGCCGTCTCGCTCAAGGAGGCCTCCGTCAGTCCCAAGCAGCCTTGGCTCGGACGTACACGCCGCCTCGAGAGCTACAGACCACTCGCGCCATGCGCGGCTACCTGCGGAGCTACCACTCGCGCCTGCGCCGCCGTCTCGCTCTGCCGCGCGCGCGCCGGCCCGCCCCGCCGCGGGAGCGCCTCGCGACGCGGCGGTGCGGGGCGGGCAGCGGCTCGTGGCGAGGCGGACCACGGCGTGCGCCGCGGCACGCGCGCGGCCTCCGCGTCGCGCCTCTGCGGTGCTCCTCCGCGCGCCCCCGCCCGCCAGGGGTAGGAGGCCGCCAGCGCCCGATCCTGCGGCGCGTCGCGCCGTGTTGGGACCCCTCTTGGCCCCGTGGGGGCCCCTCCTCCCGCCGCCCCTGCCGCCCCTCCCCTCCCTGAGGCCCTACCTCCCCTCCCCTCCCTCCGTTTTCTGCCTCCTCCCTTCTCCCTTTCCTCCCCTCCTTTTCCCTTCCCCCCTCCCTCCCTCGGTCCCTCCCTCCCTTCTCTCCCTCTCTCCTTCTATTCCCTCTCGCACTGCCTCCGCCCCTGCCTCCCTCTCACACTGCCTCCCGGTTGGGATCGGTATCAGTTTCCCCGCTACCCTTGACAGGGCCCGGAGCCCACGCAGTGAAGCGACGGTGCAGGCGGGGGTCTGGGAGGCCTCCGTGTCTCAACGGGCACCAGAGATTTGACATCGGTTGCAGGGCCCAGACCTCCGGCGTCGCGCAACACCACACCGCTCACCCTCTGGATCTTCGCCTCCGGTTCCTGTCCAAGGCGTTCCTTTTCCTGTGCAAGCTCTTCAGCACCGCCTGCACCCTGGCCCGCCCTCCAGCCGCTTGAGGCCCCGCCCGCCTGTGCCCTGTCTCCCCAATTAGAGCTGTGCGTAGCCCGCCTAGCTTTTACCGGAATAGGTTCGCTCCCGCCCCGCAGACACAAAAAGAGTGTGTTCGCAAATGCGGTGCCCAGGAGCTGCTGCTGGGCCCCCCGACCATCAACGAGTCGCCCGCGGTTCGGAAATTCAGCCCAGGTGATGAGAAGGAGAGTCTTGAGGGCCCGTGTCACGAGAAAACACGACGCCAGAGGTCTGAGGAACAAGAGGAAGAGGAGGAGCAGTGGTGCCCTGCTGGTGGATTTGTCCTGGACACCGCTCTTGATGCTTAAGGCCCCGCGAGGGCTTTCCTGTCCGAGGCCGCCCAGACTGCTCCAGGCACCTCGCGATGAGCAGTTTCGCTCGCCCCGGACCCTGACCTCCGCAAGTCCCCGAAGGCCCCCATGGGACGTCAGGAGGCCCAACAAAAACAATAACGAGAGAACAAAGCACAACAAAAGTTTAGTTAGTAGTATATGTCATACTACAAAACAAGAGTATATTATATGACCTGTATATTTTGTTCATAAAAAAAGGAGAAAAAGAAGAGCAGCCAAAAAAAACGTGGGTATGGGTAGGACGGTCTGGTCATAGGCGGCGCCCTTGCCGCTTCGGGCGGCCGCCAGTGCAGTACTCCTCTTCGCCCCCCATCTTCATTTTCCTCCTCCTCCTCATCCTCCTCCTCCTCCTCCTCCTTCCCTTCATCTGCCTCCTCCTCCTCCTCCGCCTCCGCCTCCTCCTCCTCCGCCTCCTCCTCCTCCTCCTCCTCCTCCTCTCCTCCTCCTCCTCCTCCTCCTCCTCCTCCTCCTTCCCCTCCTCCTCCTCCTCGTCCGTAGCCATTTTGGCTCAAGATGTCCTGGTGCGCAGCGGCGTCCAAATGGATACCGCTGTGCCGCGGCCAGGAGTGGGGATTCCCTTGCAGCCACACCCAGGGCGAGCTGCCGCCAAAGACTGGTCCGCGTGGACCCACAGTTTTGTGCCCGCGAGGGCTTTCCACCGCAGTGCATGGCGGCCGAGGAGGAGCGGCGCAGGGCGGGTCGCGCTGGTGGTGGCCACCGTGGTCCTGGTGCTGCTGACGGGCGGAGGCGCGGCGACAAGGGCAAGGAGCAGCCCCCAGCCGAGGACCTGCGGTCGGCCTCCCGCAGCACGAACGAGCGGGCCCCTGCGCGACGTCGGGCTCGACGGGGTCACACACGCTCCGACGGCGAAGCGGATGCCTCGGGATCGCCGGCCAGTGATCGTGTGCGCCATGGCCCTGGAGGACTCGATCGCGCCGCCCAAGATGAGCTCGCGGCTGCCTTCGAGGCGGCGGCCACCTTCCCCTCGCAGGAGCGTCAGGCCATGCAAGTGGAGCAGGCGCCCGCTGGCAACCCGCAAGCTGGACCTCTACATGCTCCTCCTGACCCGTGGCAACGCCCTGGTGGGGACCCTTGGCATGATCGTGCTGCCCCCGCTGATGGACACTCTGAACCTCCTGCTGCTGGCACTCCCATCGGTGGGATGGCCACTCCTGTGGATGCTGGCGGCATGGACATGCAGGCCATGTTGCAGAGCTGCATTCGCCAGGCCACCGACGCCATCGCCGCGACCTCCATGGCCCAGGTCACTTCCTGCCAGACGCAGCTGGTGCGCATGTTTCAGACCCAGCAGGAGGCTGTCAACAGGTCCCTCGCCGTGCAGACGCGCGACATCGCATCCATTGGTCAGCGTGCCGACGCCCTGGAGGCGGAGCAGGCGGCCATGCGCAAGCAGATCGGGGACATCAACAAGGTTCTGGCCCTCGCCGAGAAGGAGCTACCCATCATGGACTTTCAAGAACTGGAGGCGTGGTCTCGTCAACCCAACCCGCGGATCTTCTCGATTGGAGCGCCGCAGTTGGTTGGACCCGCCCAAGCTCTGCAAGGATTGGAGGAGTGGATTCGTGCGGCTGGCCTCACCAATGACATGGTCCGCATCGACCCTGCGGTCCCCTCCAAGCGCTTCAACGCATTGGTGCAGGGCGGCGACGGTGTCGCTCTCCCTCGGGCCCAAGCACTCGCACGGCAGCTACGTGACCCAGCTGGCAGGAACGGATGGCGCTCCTTCAGCGCCCAGAGCGTCGGCGGTGGCGCCGCCCCGCTGTACCTCTCGCCCGACAAGTCGCCGCAGCAAGTTCGGATGGAGATTCAATCGAGGAGGCTCTCGGCTCTGTTGGCAGAAGCTCATCCTGATCTGTCTTTCAGTGCTCAGCGGGCCCGTGGCATCGTCACCTCCCAGGGCGTCAAGGTTGCCAAGCTCGAGATGGGCGAATCCCGCTACACCGACACTATCATCAGGTGGAACCCAGACATGGTCGCCAGGCTGCACATCGACAGGGAGTCCATCAACACGCAGTTCAAGAAGGCCTTCTCCACGGAGGACAACACCGAGTGGATTTAGCACCCCACTGTGGGCGCCATGGCGTCCTCCTGGCGATCGGCATGGCTTCCGTGGACTTCACCTGGTCGCGTGGAATGCCCGTGGCCTGCTCCACTCGGACGCGAGGCTGCGCAGACGCAAGTTGGCACTGCTCGCCACCTACATGAAGGTCAACGCCATCATCGCCGTGCAGGAGGCCCACGGCTCCGAGGACGCCCTCAGGATCTTCCTCCAGTCGCAGCCGCAGAAGTACTTGAGCTTCCTCTCGCCTGGCCCCTCTGCTGCCGTGGGCGGAGTCGCCTTTCTCGCCCCTCGATACGTCGATGAAAGTCCAAGGGCGGATGGACCCAGAGCCGAATCTCTGGGAAGCGGGGGCGTGGCGTGGCGGGCGGGACCTCCTGAGTGCGCCTCGCCCCCTGCCGCATCCTTACCGACTCAAGACACCTGGTCAAGTACACGAACCTCCTCTTCACCGACGACAGCAAGTTGCTCCGACACCTGGTCAAGTACACGACGTTCTCCCACGACATCCACGTCACTGCCGAACAACACCTGGTCAAGTTCACGAAACTCCACACCTGCTCTGCCGTCCTACCGCTTCGACATAGTGGCGGTCGGCCGCGCGGCGCTCCTCACGATCACCGACAGCACGGGCAAGTACAGCACGCAGATCTTCAACATCCACAACTACGACCTCAAGCCGCACGAGTTCACTGCAGCACAGCGCACCTGGTCCAGTGGCCTGGCGCGGGCGCGCCGAGACTCGTTACACCGCATCTTCCTGGGCGTCGGTGACTTCAACATAGCTGCCCGCCCGCCAGTCAGTCAACGAGCACCCTCAGACTCTACGGCTTGGCGCCTCCGACCTGATCACCGCTGCCAACTTCGGCAACCTGCGTGGCGCCGCCTATTCGCTGCAGCCATGGAGATTGAGTCTCAATGGCCGGCCCACTACGACAAGTCCTGCAAGCAGCTGTCCACGATCGACCGCATCTTCTTGGGCATCGACGCGCACGCCATGCTCTCGGTCTCGACGATCCTTACCACGGCGAGGGACGCGATGGAGCTCTCCGAGGCGGGCATCAGCGACCACGCGCCCCTCGTCCTGCAGATCACTGCTGCACGCCATGTCCCACGAGACGAGCAGCCAATCCCGACGCACCTCTTCAACCACAGGAAGTACCCCGAGACCTACACGCTCACGCTGGACCACTGCGCCCTGGCTGGGGAAACGGCGGAAGGCCGCTGGAGAGCAGCGAAGCAGTGCATGAAGCTTGCTGCGCAACGTGTTCGTGATGAACAGCTGCGGACCAACTTCTCCCTTCACGTCAAGGACTTCACGGTCGAGACCTCGTACATGGGTTTCAAATCGGCGGCGCGGGCAGTCTGGCGACAGGACGCTGTCCTGGCAAGTAGGCTTCTCGACTCCTGCCCTGCGCTGGCCGCCCACCTCCACATCACCGACGGCACCGTGAGCCTCGTGGACCCCCACAGCTTTGCCACCAACTTCGACGCCATCGCCGAGCGGGTGCACTCCCTGCGTAGGCAGGCGGCGGAGGCAGCAGCTCGGACGGCCAACGTGCGCGACAGCGCAGCCTGGCGGAGGGTTGAACGCAAGGCCGCCAGACATGCACAGCTCTGGGTCCCGTGGCGGCGCCGCATGATCCTCTCGGGCTTGCGCGTGGATTCCGCACCATGCGCCGCCAAGGACTCGCAGGTGGCTCAGCACGTGGTCTCCGACCCCGCGGGCATGAAGGCGACTGTGGCGAACTACTGGGGTGAGATCTCCGCGAAGGTGCCGAATCCTGAACAGCTCAAGGCATTGGACGCCTTCCTGGACA